AAAAGAAACAATAAGAGAGGTAAATAGGGAGCCTACACCCTGGGAACAAATCTTTACTCCTCACACTTCAGATAGAGCCCTAATATCCAGAGTATACAAAGAACTCAAAAAATTAGACAATAAGAGAACAAACAACCCAATCAACAAATGGGCCAAGGACCTGAACAGACACTTCTCAGAGGAGGACATACAGTCAATCAACAAGTACATGAAAAAATGCTCACCATCTCTAGCTGTCAGAGAAATGCAAATCAAAACCACCCTAAGATACCATCTCACTCCAGTAAGATTGGCAGCCATTATGAAGTCAAACAACAACAAGTGCTGGCGAGGATGTGGGGAAAAGGGTACACTTGTACATTGCTGGTGGGACTGCAAATTGGTGCAGCCAATTTGGAAAGCAGTATGGAGATTTCTTGGAAAGCTGGGAATGGAGCCACCATTTGACCCAGCTATTCCCCTTCTCGGTCTATTCCCTAAAGACCTAAAAAGAGCATGCTACAGGGACACTGCTACATCGATGTTCATAGCAGCACAATTCACAATAGCTAGACTGTGGAACCAACCTAGATGCCCTTCAATGGATGAATGGATAAAAAAAATGTGGCATTTATACACAATGGAGTATTACTCTGCATTAAAAAATGACAAAATCATAGAATTTACAGGGAAATGGATGGCATTAGAGCAGATTATGCTAAGTGAAGCTAGCCAATCCCTAAAAAACAAATGCCAAATGTCTTCTTTGATATAAGGAGAGTAACTAAGAACAGTGTAGGGACGAAGAACAGGAGAAGAAGATTAACATTTAACAGGGATGAGAGGTGGGAGGGAAAGGGAGAGAGAAGGGAAATTGCATGGTAATGGAAGGAGACCCTCAGGGTTATACAGTGGAGGGGGTAGAGAGAGAGGAGGGGAGGGGAGGGGAGAGGTGGGGAGGGGGGAGGGGGGAGGATGGGAAAGGCAGCGGAGCACAACAGACACTAGTATGGCAATATGTAAATCAATGGATGTGTAACTGATGTGATTCTGCAATCTGTGTATGGGGTGAAGGTGGGAGTTCATAACCCACTTGAATCAAAGTGTGGAATATGATATGTCAAGAAATTTGTAATGTTTTGAACAACCCACAATAAAAAATTAAAAATAAAAAAAAAATGTATTCCAGCTAGGGCTGGAGATGTAGCCCAGTGATAACAGCACTTGCCTAGCATGTACAAGGCCCTGAGTTCAATCTTCAGCACCACCAGACAGACAAACAAAACTCCTCTGGCAAACAGAATAGGGAGGACCTATGACATTTACTAATGTCGAATATTTTTCTGTTTGTAGTAATCCTAGCTCTCTTTAACATCAGGAAGGCAGTGTTTCTTCTTATTCTCTAGCACTAGTTTTCATTTCATAGATTGACTGAGTTTTGATGGTTTTCAGTGGCATCTAAAAGTATAATTTCAAAATATTTAGTACTTTGGTTCTACTTGTAAAATTTGTGAAATAAGGATTATTGTTATAAATATATATATATATATATATATATATATATATATATACATGACAATATATATATATATTTTTTCCCTTGGTAGTGGGGGTTGAACCCAGGCACACTTCACCACTGAGCCACATTCACAGCCCTTTTAATATTTAATTTAGAGGCAGGGTCTCACTAAGTTGCTTAGGGCCTCGCTAAGTTGCTACGGGTGGCTTTGAACTCACAATCCTCCTGCCTCAGCTTCCTGAGCCTCTGGGATTATAGGCGTATGCTACCGCACTGGGCTACTGTCATATATTTGGGTGTGGAATGAGTATCATAATGTGATATATGCTGTTATGCTTCACTTGAAATATTTCTTTTTAATGGTCCCTTTGAGAAGTCGGGGGGTAGGGGTAGTATCTGAGGATTGTTTTAAATTTTTGAGACATAGATGAGGATATCATATTTTCTAAAATCAAGCATATATTATATGGTATCTATCTTAATTCCCCTCCAGGTCCTGTGTATGTGCAATGCTTATCACATACAGAAAGTTACCATATTATGTATATTAGAATTCTTATTTTGCTGAACATTCAAAGATTAATCTTAGTAACCCTCTTACTATTCCCTGAGGCTGTGAAGATTATTAGTTCACATTTACCATTTATGAGATTTGCTGAATAGGACCAGGGAGATTTAATTCTTTTTTTAAATTCAGATGAGCATACCTATTTATTGTGTAGAGTACTAAAACTGAACTCACTAGTTATTAGAGCTCTGAGAATGATTTGCAGTATGGCTACATGTGATTTGACTTAAGTATTAAGGAAAGACATTCACTCTCATCCTGGTGACACCTGTCCACATGGTAAAAGAAACATTAAAATTATGAAACTCTAAAAAATAAAACTGAATATCTCTTTTTTATTTATTTGTATTTTTGAAAGGTGGTTAGAGACCTGCAGAATAATCAAATTCTTTTTTGTTTTTTCTCCCTCTTAGAATTACCTCTGGACTACAAATTTACAAGATTCTCTTCAAACAGTTCAAAAACAGCTGGCTACTATCCATTGGTCAATTATACCAATGGTCTTATTGAATGATGAGATATGGACAATAAGATAAATTATCTCTACTAAAAAATGAAGAACCACATATGCAGCAAATGTACTGTAAAAAATATTAATTTTCAAAGAAATACTGTAAAATGCTTTATAGGAACAAATTTTTAATGAAAATTGACCAAGAAATTGATATTTGTCCATAGATCTTTTTATATAAATCATTTTGATGCTTAACAACTCTTGGAATATTAAAATCCCAGTATCCTAGAACTAAAAAGAACATTATTAGTATTTTCTATACCAATAGCTTTGAAATTATAATTCAGCTGGGGAGACCCACACAGTTTATACATATGCCTAGTCTGGTGGTTCTCAAGTGTGTGTCCAGGGATGCATAGCAGCATCACCTAGAACTTGATTATTCCAATTTGAAGGCCCTATCCCCAAACCTACTGAGTCAGAAACTGTGGGAGGTAGGCCCACCAGTGTGTTTTCTTAACAAGCCTTTCAGGTGATTTTGATTGACACTAGTTTGAGAACCAATGACCATTTACTCCAGAGTTTAGTTTAATTTGGGTAAATAGCTGAGCATTGATATCGTTTATAATGTCTTTATTAGTAAGTACAACAGAACTGCAAATAACCAGTCTATACCAATTCCTTCAATTTAGAGCCAAGAACATTGAGCCCAGTGACATTAAATGATTTTCCCAAACTATTAGGTTTGATAGTATTCCTGTTTTTTTCCAAAATAAGGAAATACATACATGATTTCTTCTGATATCACACAACCATCATGGGACAGAGATGGTACTAGAAGCCAATCCCAACCTTCATTGTTACCCACTGTTTCCCCCTATTAGGAATTAATATTAATATTAAGGACTGTTTAATTCATTATCAATAACTTTAAGACATGTTTCTCAATAGGATTAAAAATTGATTCTAGGGTACAAAACAATCTTCAGTAACAGTGGATTCTGGCCTTTTAAATTCAAAAATACCAAGAAAATTCATTTTTATTCCTTGGCATTGAATTTTCTTATTAGGTAAATGTAGTTTTTTTCTTTGGGAGGGAGGGTGATGAAGAAAATGTTGAGAAACACTATTTTAAGGGGTTTATAGGTTTATTACAATCCAGGATATGTTGTGCTTAGTCATATTAGTAGCTATTTGTTATAAGACATTTGGAGCCAGATAATGTTTATAGTAAATTCCTAGCCAGATAATGTTTATAGTAAATTCCTAACTACTTTTTATGCTATAATTTCACTATTCATCATGGACAGGACCAGAAAACAATACTGGTCATTAATATTATTTTACTTGTATTATAGCAGAGAACTTAGCATGGACACATGCAGTGAAAAGATATTTTGTTAAAATTTTTAAATATTTGAGAAATCTCAAATATACTGTGGGAATGATTATCTCAGGGTAAGAAACTTTGTTTTTTTTTTCCCTCAAAGTCAGTAGCTTTGTTTGATATCTACCAATAAGTATATGGTGATGTATTTGAAATTGTTATCCAGAATGTCATTGAAATATTACAATGTGCATATACAATCAAGCTTAGGGCTAAATGAAGATGCTAACTCGTGTATGCTATAGAGATCTGATTTTTTAATAAAGTATTTTTCCTTATGCATGTTTATTCTGTAAATGGCAAAGAATACATCTTTAAATGCTTATGAACTGCTATTAATAAGAAAAATGAGAGCCCCCACCCCCTAAAAAATTAACTGTACTTTCCTGGCCACTGAGGAGTGGCAGGGACTGGGCCTTCTAAGTTTCCTTCTACCTTTTTTAGCATGTCAGTGATGACTCTAATGGATGTTTGTTAGACTGTATTAGGCTTTTTACATTTTTCCTTCATTGTTATAAAAAGTGCCAGTGTTTCTAATTGAGTATGAAAAGTAAATATCATCCAAAAGTGACACCATAAAAAAGTAAAAAGAATATTGGAAAAGTTTTTTATCCTTTAATAAAATTATATGAAATAAGGAAGGAAATTTGTCCCAATACAATTGGTGCAGTTTGGGGTGGCAATGGAAGCACCTACATTGGTTTTTATCACTGAACATATTGTTTCCAGTGGAAAACTATTATGTACCATCCTTGTTTACCACATTTATGTTAACTACGCCCTCCTTGGTGTAATTCCCAAGGAGCTTAATGTAGTTTTGGAAGAATTAATGACTTTGGATTTTGTGAGTAGCAGTTAAATTTTTTTCATACAGTGTGTGGTATGTCAAAAAGAATATCCTAAATATGACTGAAATATATTGAGAAACACATGAAAGCAGATATCACACTTCAGTTACTAGTAATGATATAGTGTGCTATCCAGCCACTGGTTCGTAAAGGTTTAGAGAATAAGTACTTCTGCATCCTGTGTAACAGGGAGGGTTATGGATGCTGCAAGGTCTGTGAAAATTAATAACCAGGTATACTTAGGCATATAAGCAAAAAGTTGACATAAACGGCCCAAATCAGTGTTTTCTGCCTTTTTTATTTTTTTTAATTTTTAGAACTTATTTTGTTTATTTATGTGGTGCTAAGGATCGAACCCAGTGCCTCACATGTGCTACACAAGCTCTCTACCACTGAGCCACAACCCCAGCCTGGGTTGCTGCTTCTTGATCCAGTTCTTAAACTTAAGTTCCACTTGCTGAGGTGTAATTTTTTCTAGGCCTGGAGGTTTTAAGAGAGCTAGATTTCTTTTGCGAATTCAACCATCTTTTCCATTCCTGTGCTGGACATAATCAGAAAATGTCATTTTTCTTGCCCTTGGTTGATTATCAGCTTTAGCTTTACCAATAGTGTCATTCTTCTACAGGCTGGTGCCACTCATTTGTTACAGATTAATGTGGTTGCTATTTAGTTTATTATAACTAGTCATTAAATTAGACTCAGGCATCATATAGGTTTCACTTACCAGTTTGGTTAACTCTAGAAGCCCAGTTCCATTTCTTAACATCGTCGTCGTCTTATTCCTTCTGTAGACCTCCAAACCAGTTAAGAGATTGTCTCATCCTCTGGTCGTCAAAGTAGTATTATTATTTTCATCTGCTTAAGCCATATTGCCCTGTGAGAAGTTAGTGACACACTTCATAATTTCCCTGTGACCATTTGATAACTTTAATGGTTTCCCAACCTTTTATTAAACTAGACAACACACAACTTTTTATTTATTTTTATTTTTTGATGACAACAAGAAATATAACAGTGACATTTTACTTTTCTTTCAAACACAGAGAAGACAAAAGTACTAATAATCCTTATTTAAGTTTGACAGCAGTTCTGCTAGTAGTTATACTGGTTAGGAACATAAGGTCAAGTACATTATTATTAGGGCAAGAAATATCAAGTAAGACAACAGTTATGCTTTTTTGAGATTACTTTCACAAGACAGCAACAATCTTCAAAATCTTCAGATTCTTCAACGATCATATTATTCAAATTATATGTCTAAGAATAGAACTATATAGAAGAAAGACCATAACAAGCTAATCTATTAATGAATATTCACAGACGTCTTCATACTGCACAGGACACAAATTTTGATATTTTTGCACATGTCCTCAATTACAAGCAAAAAAGCAGGCCTGTAAACATCAATTTTGCCAATAGGCTGAAATGGAGAAAGGAATTAATAGGATGTTATTCAACACAGTGAGATAAGGAACATATACCATTAATCTCCCACATATATAAAGGTTACTCCTAAAATAATAGAGAGAAAACACCCAGACTTGTATTTTTGTTTACAAAAATCTATTGGTGAATTTAAGGAGTTAGGAAAAATTGGAGGAAAGCCCTTCTCCAAGCATCCTAATTAAACCCCAAATGCTTTGATTCTCTCACCTCTACCCTAGGAACTGCCTCAGGCCTCGCCTTCCACCCCTGATCCTGCAGGGATCTTTACTGTGGGCCTTGAGAAACTCACTATACATCAGGCTTATTTCTGCTTCTGGGCCTTTAGTTAGTTTCCCAGCCTGCAGCACCCTCTCCACTGATTGTGTCAGACTCCTTAGCCCTCAGGAGCTTAGGGAAAGGACTTCAAAACAAAGGAAAAGGGTGAAGACCAATGGTCTTCACCAGCACCATATACCCCTACAACTGAGACAGCCCTACAGCATCACTGTGCTGGAACTTGTCCTGGAAACGCAGACTCCACCTTATTCCCACAATGCAGACTGCAGACTGCAGCCTACTCCCTCATTTGGAAGGACAAAGCAGGGAAAGAAATGCTGAAACTAAGAAGTAAGGACCCAGAGGACCAGGCTGTAGAATGGAGCCTATGGAATATCACAGCAGTAAAAGCAGAGTGACTCACAAAATGCTCTTTTCAAATCATTTCTTAAACAGTCCAAGTCCCCCAAAATTGTCATCTTTAGAAAAGTGAAGTAAAGCAAATTCTAGTTGTACAGGGTCTGCCTTCAACACATCACTGAGGCCCTTTTCTCCTTCCAGCTTCTCAAATTAAAGCTCAAGAAATTCACAGAATTAGGCAGGATAGGAGAAAAAGGGTGGGGATACCACGATTAGAGAACACAATGCCCAAATAAGCAGTTACCCTACAGGTCCCTATGTGACCTTGCTAAAAGTGGGGTGAAGAAATAAGGGCAGAGATCTGAAGTCTAATTTACAAATCTCTTTCTGGAAACAGCCCAAAACCTACTTTTTGCCAGTTTGTTTTCTGTCTCTCAGCAGTAACTGCTCCAGAGAGGGAAGGAGGAGAAAAAGATAGGGGAAGAATGAGAGGCATAATAAGACCCACATTCCAGAAAAATCTCTTAGTGCCCTCACCCTGGCAACTCCATCATGTCCAGAGGAGGTATGGAAGGGGGAAAGAGGGGTAGCCAAACAAAATCACCTGTATTAAGGGTGGTTTGTTGGCTAGGACCCTGAAAGGCTACTAAAAGGGACCATTCCACCTTGCTTTGGGCACTGCATTATCACTACTCAACTTGCCTTACAAGTAATTGGGTTTATGGGTAATCACAGTAGATATGGGGGTTCCTGTGTGTTGTTTAGGGGCTTAGGTCCATAGATAGTTCTGTCGAGGCAGTGGTGGCCTGTGCAGAGCTCCACCAGCAGGGAGGAAGTAGTGTTGGTGGGCTACAGCACAGGCCTTCATACTCACCAGTAGCCGATTTCGATGCACAATAACCAAAAGTACAAAAAGCCCATTCTTGTTGGGCTACTTCATTTGTGTCTAGCAGTTACCCATGAGCCACCTGCTTGTTCCACCAGAAGACTAGATGGAGAAGGCCCAGAAAGCAGCTGGCATCCAGTAAGTGGTAGCCCAGAATGTCCAGTTTGGGTTGATGGCTGAGTTGGGATTTCAGTTTCATCTTGCAGGGGTGAAACTCAAGAACACATAGTACATGGATATTAGAAGCACAACAAGCATAAAGTGTACTTAGTTTTTTGTAAAGAAGTGTCAAGCTTCCTTGTGGTAGAGAACGACTAAAAGACCTGGGAGAAGACCATAGTCACAGACAGGACCCAAGCCATGCAAAGAAGGCAGTACGTATCTACAACATCACGAGTGTAGCATAGAAGCAGTAGAAGGCCATGCACTTGGAATATGTTCACACAATGCAGAACAGCTTGAAGGGCCAGAAGAAGAATAGCATAGGTATGTAAGGGGCCATCTTGAAATTGACTGTTGAAACCTTAGAACTGAAGGACAAACTAATTCAGTACACTGAAAAAGCAGACAGAAGGCTGCATGCTGCTGGCCAAGAATAGACGATGGTAAGGAGACTTGTGCAGGAGCTTCTCAAGGGCAGAAATTAGCCAGACTGGAACCTGAAAGACCTGGGGCTCTCCACAGGCTGTCGTGGTGGACCTCGAATTCCTCTTCGGGGACCTTCTCCCATCAGGTAGTATTGTAGGGGATTGGACCACAATTCCCCTTTGATAATCTCAGCAATTCTATCAAATTCTAGAAGGCTGTGGTCTGAGAACCAGTTGAAGAAACTCGGGATGGTGTTCCCTTCCCGGTTCCTGTGGATATGGGCCTGGGGGTCTTGACCCCGGTGCCAGCGGATTGGAGTGGAAAGAGACACCACTCGGCCGGAGGATCTGCGCTCATACTCCTTGACTAGCCCCTCATTTCGGAAGTATGGGTTGCTCTGAAAGATGAACTTGAATTTGCAACCTGCCCTGGGGTGTTTAAGTTCCTCCACCTCCAAATTGATCATGTACCTCATTATATCTTCGTCTTGACCACTGATCATAGGTGACAGCTGAGGGTGGTTCCGAAAAGCGGTGACCCAGAAACCTGGAATATTTTGGATAATGAAACTCCTGCGCTGCATATGGAGCCTTCTCATTCGGCCAAATTTGCGCTCCAGCTGGAGGAAGGCCCTGTCGGCCTGGGCATTTACGTTTGACAGCTCTTGATCGATGGCCTCCAGCGAGTCCATGCAATTATTGATTTTCGGGGCCCTAGGCCGGGCCTCTTCTTTCCCTCCACCAGCTGCCTTTTTTTCCTTCTGCACCACCTTCTTTTCCTCCATCACCGCCTCTGCTACTCCCTCTTTTTCTGCTGCTGCCGCGATGGCGCACTTCTTAATCGTCACTTCCTTGGCTTTCGCCCCAGGTTTCACCTGAGACCCCCAGGCCCCTGC